TAGTGACTGACGCTAGAGCCACCGATCTCAGCCTTTCCATCGGCGGCCATATTCTGAACTAATACTTATGTGATCGAGATGAGGGATTTTGACCTCATACTCGGTATGGATTGGCTAACTCGATGTCACGCAGATATTCGATGTTACGATCGGGAGATTACTCTTTATCTTCCGGGAGATGATCAGATCACTTATTACGGCTCCAGGACTTGTACTCTGCCACATATTATTTCTATGGCGAAAGCCAGAAAGGTTCTTCGACGGGGTGATTGCCAGGGTTATCTTGTGAGCCTTGTTGGAGATGAGTCAAAGGCACGTTCACCTCATGACATTCCTATCGTTCGTGAGTTTGTGGACGTGTTTCCAGACCAGCTTCCCGGAGGTCCACCTTGCCGACAGGTGGAATTTTCTATTGATCTTATCCCTGGAGCCGGACCCGTTTCAAAGGCACCGTACAGAACGGCGCCTAAAGAATTGCAGGAAGTAAAGACCGAGATATACAAGTTTGTTTTGTGGACTTCCATGAAACAGCACTTCCTCCGATACATAAAACATATCTGCTTGTGGAATGAGAATCTCTCGAATCTGATATCCAGTTGGCATCACAATACCCTTCAAGTACTGCTGGATATCTCGAGTTTTTTTAGACCGTATTCACGGGTGTACTTTAAGTACTTCAATACCCTTTTCAAAGCATTTCAGTGCTCATGACTGGGATTGCTCGTAAATCTACTTACTTATTCACCGGATAGGCCAAGTCTGGTCGTGTACAATTCGAAGTACATTAGATCCCTATTATCTGTAAATATTCCAATTGAGCAATTGGTTGACATTTATTGGCTTCTAGATTTAAGCTAAGATCAAGGGGTGTCCTAGACAGAGGACCGTCATAGGCATTAAATTTTTTGAGCACTTTCTCTACGTAATGAGATTGTGACAAGACAATTCTATCTTGGGTTCTGATAATCCTTAATCCAAGAATTACATCAGCTACACTCAAATCTTTCATGTCGAAATTTCTTTTAAACATTTGTTTTGTATCCATGATC